GTCTTCGTGCGCTTCTACGGCGTGAGCACCTTCGCCATCGACTGGCTCTCCATGTGCTACATGCTCACCTACATCCCCCTGCTCTTCCCCGTCGCCTGGCTGCTGGACAAGCACGGCCTGCGCCCCATCGCCCTGGCCGGCTCGGCGCTCAACGGGCTGGGTGCCTGGGTGAAGCTGGGCAGCTTGAAGCCGCATCTCTTCGCTGTCACCGTGCTGGGGCAGGTGGTGTGCTCCGTGGCGCAGGTCTTCATCCTGGGCATGCCCTCGCGCATCGCCTCCGTCTGGTTCGGCCCCCAAGAGGTCTCCACCGCCTGCTCTCTCGCCGTCTTCGGGAACCAGGTGAGCAGCCCGTGTGGGCCCTGGGGTGCTGCGAGGCAAGAACCGCCAGCTCTGCCCAGGGGCCTGGAGACATGGGGCAGGAAACGGCTGGGCAAAGTGGGAGATATGCTGGGAGCTGAAGGAGGAGGGATGCTCCTGGGTTCAGCTGTGAGGTGACAGGGCAGGCAAGGGAGCAGGACCTAAGTCTCCAAACCAGGGAGCAGGATGGGTTTGGGCATGGCCCTCGCTTCGGGCAGGCTTTGGATTTGGTGTCTTCTCCAGCACCTTCCCAATTGCAGGTCTGTGAGTCGCTGGCCCAAGGATTTGACTTTAGAACAAGGGGATGGAGTGAAGGGGAATGAACACGGGGTGCTGAGAAGCATGCTGGAGTGCCAGGGTCCCGCAGCCCCCAGAGCTGCAGCTGTATCAGGCTTTGACAGTGTGATATTCCCAAAAGAGCAAAGCCTGTCTCCTGAAAGGGATAGGTGTCGCCAGGCCCTGTGGATAGAGAACTTGAACGTTTTTTTTACCTCTTACAAATCAGATACTAAATGTCCAGTTTTTGCTTTGAACAGAAGCAAATGTTCCATCAAGCAGGGACAAGGTAAGCTCCCTGGACACTCTTGTATCAAGGCAGGGCAGGGAGGCCAGTGACCCACATCTGTTCGAGCTGTAATGTTGGTGCCGTGTGGCAGAAAGCAGGTAGACTGAGAGTGGGGCAGCATGGAAAAGGGAGGGGAGTGCAGCAGGGCAACGGCTGCTCTGTGATGCTGACACTGAAGGCAGAGGGAAGGAGACCTTGGCACCGGCTGCCGGGCTGGACCTGTGCCCCTCACTGCTTGCAAGATCCCATGTTCTCAGCTAAAGAAACCTCCGCTGCCCTGGGCTGCGGGTGCCGCTCAGGTTTGAGTGGCTTGCGGTTCAGGCAGTTTGCAAAGAACCGATATTCCTCGTAGATAACTCTGTGTGCAGGTGGTTTGAGGTCCGCTTCCCCACACTCTGGGCTTAGGTACTCGCTTAGGTACTGCTGGAGCAAGAAGTGAATTGCTCAGAGATTGTATTCGAGGATCTGAAATTTGCAGAACAGTGTTAGGAAGAAAGGCAGACTCCCAATGTTAATCTTGGTAATCTTTTGGAAAGAGAAAACATACTTATCTTTCTCTGAGTGAATCTAATATTTTCATTCTTATCACCCAGGCTAATGAGCTGTGTTTTTGTTTTTTTTTTTTAAGGTGTTTTAAGTGAATCTTTAGATCAGGAGGCATTTAACTTGGCATGAGTACCCTGCTGATTTAAAGTAAATAAGTAACTGAGCATTTTGCTTTCTTTTTTAAAAATTTATCCAGGTGGAGTTACTCAACAGTGTGTGCAAGAAATCCAAACAATGATTTTTTTAGACCATGCTGCGTGTGTATGTGCCATCCTCATCGTCCTGAAAGGAGTGCTTTAGTCCAACAGTTGTGAAAGGCAAACTTTGGCTAAACATTTTGTTCACCAAATGTGAACTGTGACTGCTCTGGGGGTTGAAGTGACATGGCAATAAGACCTCAGGTCAGTATACAGCACTTGTATTTTATGTCCAGACTTTGTTTCTGGAGGATCAGAGAAGTCTGAAGTGGCAAAGACTGAAGGCAGGACATATTCCACAGCAAAAGACCTATTCATTTATTTCCCATAATCAGTCTTGAGCTACACAATTAAAGTTCATTATATGCATGAAAAAGAGCTACTTTGTTTAGCAGTGATGCTGGGTAGGGGGAAGAAACAGAGGCTCTTTTTTTTTTTTTCTCCCTGACTCTGTATTTAGAAGGCTGTATTTTAGGGAGTGATGGCAAAGTGTAATACAGTGGTTTTGTAATTGCAGTATGCCGTTATGGCAAATTACTCCCTACACTCATCCCTCTACAACGTTTTGAATTTTCCTTTCCTGGCCATCTCGCTTAGTTTCAGTCTGAATTACAGCCCCTCCAGGTGGAAAATTCCATCGTAGATACTGCAGGTTGCCACATGGTAATGTCCTTATCTATTAGGAAATACAACCTGTTAGTTGGAAGAGCAGCGCAGGGTCACCGCTTGTCTGTGTGTAGTATCTGCCGCCTTACGCCCTGTGCACGCCGTAGCTGGAGGCAGGGCTGTCCTGAGGGAGCCCTGTCCCCTGCAGTGATGACTGCTCTGGATGCTGCTGCTGCTGCTTGCTCCCCTCCCAGGTTAGCCCCAAAGAGTAAATCTTCGAATCAGATGAACTAGGTGAGATGTTAAATATCATAAAAATCCCAGTAGAGGATATCAGATTCTCCTCACTTTATTCTGATCGTGTTGTGTTTGCTGTGGTATCTGGAGCAACAGGAGAGGTTAGACTGACCACCCTGGAGTAGATGCTGGAGAGTTCCTAGAAGTGAAGAGTGTGGACACCTGCACAGGAGGCTATCACATTCCCTTGCCTATTCACTGTTGGTTTAAATTTCTCTTACATTCCCTTGTTTTAATAGCAAAATGCATAGACTGTTCTATTCTTTTTCCATGTCCCCGTAAGTGCAATTATAGGTAGGGTATATAATGGAGTTTACTTGCAAGCAGATACTTTAGCATTAAAATTTTAATGTTACTAAAATATTACCAGCACTTCATTGTTTTGAAATACCAGGAATAACCTTTACGTACTTAAAGAAGTTGAAGTTTTAGGGTTAGGAAATAGAAAAGTATTTTGCATAATTGGCTAATGACCATCAAATATGTTTGAATTTCTGGGGAATTTGGCTGATGTACTTCAGAAATGTTGTTCTTGGTAGCACATCTGTTTGGATATCAGCTGTGCTGGATGAGGAATTTGGTTCTAGAGACCTAAAGTCCAGTGCTCAAGACACGTCAAAAAGGTGGATTGTGCTACTTCTGTCTCGGTGTGTTGATTTATCAGTAGGTGAAATGCTTGGAGTGGTGGCTCTAACCTAGCAGGTTGCAGCAAACCAGCTTTAATATTTCTTATATCAAAAGAGAAGATGGTTGAGTCATTTTTTCCTCGTAACATGTAACAACAGAGGCCTGCAGTGCAAAGAAATATTGCCCTGAGGTCTGAGTGTTGTCAAGATTGTGGGCTGCCAGGGTAGCAGGCTTTGCCCCTTTCTTTAAAATGAGCTTTTCTGTCCTTTAGGGTGATTGGCAAGAAGGCCAATCGGATCCTGGCCTGCATCAGGAGGAACGTTGTCAGCAGGTCGAGGGAGGGGATCCTTCCCCTCTACTCAGCCCTGGTGAGGCCGCACCTGGAGTATTGTGTGCAGTTCTGAGCTCCCCAGTACAAGAGGGACATGGAGCTTCTATAGAGGGTCCAGCGTAGAGCCACGAAGATGATTAAGGGACTGGGGCATCTATCTTATGAGGAAAGACTAAGCGAGCTGGGCCTGTTTAGTCTGGAGAAGAGAAGGCCAAGGGGAAATTTGATCAACATGTTCAAGTACCTGAGGGGTGACTGTAGGGAGGATGGGGCCAGGCTCTTTTCCGTAGTGGCCAGTGACAGAACGAGGGGTAATGGGTACAAGTTGAAACACAGGAAGTTCCATTTCCATGTGAGGAAGAACTTCTTTACTGTGAGGGTGACAGAGCCCTGAACAGGCTGCCCAGAGAGGTGGTGGTGTTTCCTTCTCTGGAAATCTTCCAAATCCACCTGGATGCCACCCTGTGCCATGTGCTCGAGGTGTCCCTGCTTGTGCAGGGGAGTTGGACTAGGTGATCTCTAGAGATCCCTTCCAACCTCAACCATTCTGTGATTCTGTGAATGAAGATCGTGCCGTAACATGACGGAGCTAATGCTTTGGTGGGAATATTTAGTTCATGGGTTAGATTCATGAGGCTTTCTGAAATGGATAGGCTTCAGCCTGATATTGAGATTCTTTGGCCCTTGGTTTGAGCTCCTGTGGCACGTGCTGGTCTGCTGTGCTGGAGTCAGAGCTGCT